AAAAAGTGTTTTTTTTTTTTTTTTTTTTTTTTTTTTTGAGAGGTTTTTGCTATAGGGTGCATGCGCGCGCCAGAGAGACAGAAAGCGAGAAATCACCCCCAGGAGGGGACGGCCATGCTGCAATCCCTTCTCCATTCTCCTCTTGGGATCTTGGGCACGCACACACACGCACTCGGCATTAGTCTAAGCCACTGGGTCCGGGACTCGAACTGTGGTCGACTACATGGGAGTCCAACAACATAGCCGTTATGCTAACTGCTGGTCCCAAAAAAATGCTTTTGAAAAGGAAAAAATGTCTTAAAAGAAGCCCAGCGTGGCCCCCTGCAAGGCTGCCACCCCAGGAAGCACGCCGAGTCCCCAGCCCGCGTCTCCTCTCTGTGCCTCCGCCCCTCTGCAGCCCCACTAAGTTCCCTTTTCAGACACCAAGTTCTCCCAGGCTCTGCTTCCCGATGGCCTGTGAGGCCCCCGTGGGAGAGGGACTCCCCTAGCTGAAGCAGGATTTCTGAATCTATGTATTCGCCTCCAGGCCCTCCCAGTTTAATTGTGGCAGAGTTTGGGCTGCGGAGTCAGGACAGCGGGGTTCAGGTGTGACCTCCTCCACCGTCTCGCGTAAGGACCACAGACAAGCAGCTCTGTTTAGCGGTATGCTTGCACGGGCCCTGACCCAGGCCTTGCATTTACCTGTCCCCTGCTCCCACAGTGCCCTGGCACAGTGCCTTCTGTTCCCCACAAGAGACCAGCTCTGGGCAGGGGCAGGGAGAACACAGGGAAGCCAGGCAGAAAGATGGAAGCCTCTGTTGAACTCGGAAAGGTTTGAGTGAGAGAGCTTCCTCAGGGTGCTGGAGAACCCTGCGTCTCCCCGGGAACGACATGGCGACGTCCACTCTAGCGTCTTCGCAGCCCGAGCAGTTCGTCCAGGTTCTCTGTACGGCTCTGTGTCCTCTGCACGCGCTGCGCCCCCTCCGTGCCCTCAGGGACTGGGTTAGGATGGGCCGTGCTCACACCAGGGGGCCTGCAGGGAGCAGGGCTGGGGGAAGAGAGCCTTGTTCTTTAGAGTCCTCTAAGGAGTATGCTGCTTAGTCACATTCTCTTCTAATTATTTCTCCTTGAAAACTGAACATCTGTACCAAGAACTGCCAGAAGTCCCACCAGGGCCCTTACACTGTGCCTGGGGCTCAGGGGAGGAGGGATCGTGCTCTGCAGAGGACAGAGACCCTGAGAGGAGACGCCCTGGCCCGGCCGGCCGTGGTCCTGCTGGAGACAGTGCTGTCAGCAGGAGTGGGGTGGGGCTTAGGACAGACAGCAGGTAGGTGCTTAAATACGGCGTTAGTCAGCCTCTCGGTTCTAAAGCAAAACTGAAAAAGTAATTTTCCACATAAATACCACATCCCATGAAGTAGAACCTGAAGCCCGGAAAGGCTGTGTAATACAAGTCTTCCCTGAGGACTGCCAGTGCTTCCAGATCCTTGCAGCGACACAAGGCACACGCAGACAGCGCGAGCATTTATATTTAAGGCCTTTTCCCTTTTGGGGAGCCACGAGCATATCATTCTGTACGGATGCCCTGCAGCCTTGGGGCTGAGAGCAGTGAGGTGCGTGTCACCAGGCCCGCGAGCCGCCTGTCAGCTGCCAGCATGCCCTGCTCCTGCCGAGCCCCTGCATCCCCGGGCTCTGCTGCCAGGTGCACCGCGGTCACAAACTGCGCCATAGGTGTGCCACTTGGCAAGGACGCAGGCGTGCCTGTGGGAATCCCCGAGGGGAGCTGGGGTCAGGGAACGTGCCTCTGGAGCTTTGACAGGTGTTGCCAAGATGCCCGCTCAGAGGGCCGTGTCTTCCCCGGGCCTTCACAGACGCAGGCGGTGCAGTCTGGACGCAAAGTCTGAGCTGGGACTGGGGGCGAGGTCACGGGCGAGGCGGAGGCCGCTTTCCCTGTGCCCTGCGGGAGGCCCGGGGCTTTGACACATGGAAACGCAGGTGCCAGGCCGAGGCGCCGTCCCACTCGTTACGCTGGGGTGTGGCACAGGGTTTTGAGCGTAGCAGTCTGCTCAGTCCATCTGCAGCACTGGTGGGGGTGGCAGGGACACGCCCACAGGGAGCACAGAATGGGCTCTGTCTCTCTGGAGGGGACGGCTCGGGAGGGTGTGGATGGCACATCTCACCTAGCGTGAGGTCACAGCTCGGCCCGGTGCCAGCAGAGCCCTCTGAAGGCCAGGCCCCACCCCAGCCTGGGGCAGCATCTCTGTTCCTGGGGGTTCTGTGGGCACCACCGGGAGCCCTGGTCCCAGGCAGCTGGAAGTCCAGACCTGCGCCAGGTGCAGCCACCCCCCTCCTCTGAAGAACCACCAGACCGCGTCAGCTCCCTCCTCCTCTGCCTCCTCCTCTTTTCCCTGTCCTCCCAGACGCCCCTAAAGCAGGCCTGCTTCTCGAGATTTGCTGTTAGATGCCTTTTATGTCGTAAGTTTTAAGTCCTATGAAAATGCGCTGACGGAAGTTTCTGTCTCCTCTGCGTCCTCCTACAACTGTCGTCCCCACCCTCTCCTGCTGCCCCCAGGTCAGCTGGGGCCAGCCGGGATTCCCACTGGCCTGGCTCCGGCTGAGAAGGTCTTCCCTGGGAAAGATGTTCCTCGTCTATGGGTTATTCCAAAACACACCCCTAATGCTCGAGCAGCGAGAGGGAGAGAAGGTTCTAGACTCTGGCTTAGCAGGAGTTGTTTCCCTCCTGCTTTTCCCTCTCCGCGCCTTTGGGGCAGCAGACTTTTGTCCAGGACAGCATGGGGGCTGCAGGGCCTGAAGGGTGTGGGCAGGACCCCTCCCCAAAGGCAGATGGTGCTTTGGGGGGAGAGGAGACGTCCATTTTATCATTGGCTTGAGCACTGTGCTGTTTATGGTTGACAGTTACACGTGGGGCCAGCCAAAGTGCTTTATGGGACCAGGGGAGGGAGGCCGAGTGAATTGCCACCCAAGGGGTGGAAGGCCGCCCTCTGGGAAGGAGGATCAAACAGAGGGGGACAAACATGTGTCTGGGGCTGTGAGGGGCATCCGGAGCGTGGTGGCAGGGCCTGGGAAGGGGACCAGGCAGGCTCTGCAGGGGGCCCGTCCACACCCAGTCCTGAAATAGCAGTCTTAGCCCATGGCTACAGACGCGTGCAGTCTGACCTGCACAACTGTTTTTAAAAGTTGGTTATAGGGTGTGTGTGCTTGCTGGAGAGAGACAGAGAGGGAGAGGGAACATGAGAAAGCACCGCGTGGGGGGTTAGGGGAAAGGTGGCCACACCACAGTCCCTTCTCCTCCATCGCCCTCTCAAGATTTGGGGCTTGCACGCACTCAAGCCCAGAGCGCTTTCCAAGCGTGTGTCCAGGACTCAAACCCACCCTGGCCGTGTGGGGTCCAGCGGCCTTAGCCACCACACTGCTGGCCGGCCCTGACTTGCATCATTTAAAATGGATTTTAAAGTTGTATTTCTTACCTATGAGATGTGAGCAGTCAGACTCAAGTCCAGGCTCTGCCTCTCTTAGAAAACATTTGGTATCAGTAACATGGGACGTGTCTCCAGGAGCTGCCAGGGCACGGGCCGCGGGCAGAGGGGCTTCCAGCCACAGAGACAGGTCCCTTCTCCGTCCTGGAGGCCACACGTCCAAAGTCAAGGTGTCGGCAGGGCCAGGATCCTTCCTGCCTCTTCCAGCTTCAGGTGTGGCCGGCAGTCCGTGGTGTCCAGGCGGGCAGACGCACCTCTGCAGTCCCCGCCTTCTCTCTGCAAGTGTCCCCTCCTCTTACAGACACAGTTGTAATGGAGGGGCGACCCAGCCCAGTTCGATGAGTCTATAAAGATGCTATTTCCAATAAGGTCACATATGCGGGTACAGGAGTTCGAACTTCCACGTAGCCCATCCTTTGGGGACGTAGCAGTCGCCTGCTGGCATAACCGGCGGGCTGTGAGCACTGGAGCACCTCCGTCAGGCGGGACCCCGTGCTGCCTCCTGCATCCTGCTTGGCAGGGGAGGGGAGGGGCCGACCAGGGTCTGCCTAGATGGAGCAAGTGGAGTCCGCACCCAGTAATTTCTGAACGGCGTGCATGGCCCTCCCAACAGGGGTCCTGCCCCGCACCCTGCTCCCCAGGGCGCTCCTGCACCCGCCAGCGCCGAGAGACCAGAAGCAGGTTAGAAGCTCTCCCCACACTCACATCCACGCCTTCAGACTTTGGCCATCAGGACTTCTGGCGCCTGAACCGCCCAGCCCTCCTCCGCCCTCCTCGGCGTCCCTGTCCTGACGGCCCTGTTATTTCTTCCCACAGCCTCCGGCCTCTCCTCCTCCCCGTCCACGCCCACCCAGGTGACCAAGCAGCACACCTTTCCCCTCGAGTCCTACAAGCATGAGCCGGAGCGGCTGGGGGACCGCGTCTACGCCTCCTCCCCACCGCCGGACACAGGCCAGAGGTTCTGCCTGCCCTCCTTCCAGAGCCCGGCCAGGCCTCCACCCGTGTCGCCAACGCACTACGCTCCCTCCAGGACCGTAAGTCTGGGCCTGCGTCCTGTGGGCAGGGCCGCCGGGATTCGGAGGGGCAGAGCTGACCACATCCCCCAGCCGGGCCGGCCCGACGGGTGCAGCTGGGGCTGTGGCTGTGCATGGCACGTGTGGGGCATCTCGCCTAAATCGCAGGCTCCAGGACACTGCGGGGAGGGCACAGATGGCAAGCGGAGTCAGTGGAAACGGCACGTGGGTACCTCAGGAAGGGCAGGGGGTGTTTTCTCCCCTCAGCTGCTTCTTACAGTCACGCGTTGGAAGCATCATTTGACTTGATCATGATCAAGACGCTCAAGGGAGACGCTGTGGGCAATTCCAAAGTGGGGGGTTGGGAATTTTATTCTGGAGTTGGAGGATTTAAAGTCCACCGTCATCTGATGTGGGGCCCGCCTCTGCAAAGGGGGTGCTCAGAGCGGCGTGGTGGAGCAGACACATCGCAGCCTTGGGGGGACCCGCTGAGGCAGCTGCACTGCAGTGCAGAGCCCGCACGTGGTCTGCGGGAGGAAGGGCCTCTCTGGACACCTGATGGCCACTGCCATGCAGCTCAGAGGAGCACGGGCAGCAGCATTGCTCTGAGCCCCATGGGACACGCCCGCCACCTCCCGGGAGTCTGCCCGGGTGCAATGCGTTCACTCAGAGGTCACCTTGGTCTCCTGGGCTGCTGGAACCGAGGAGCACACACGAGGCGGGGGGGGGGGGGAAAAAGACACAAGTTAGGGGACGCCACCCGGGGGGGGGGGGGGGGGTAAACAGCAGACAGTTTGGGGACCAGGCGTTCAAGATCAAAATGTCAGCAGGGCTGTGCTCCCTCCAAGCCTCCAGGGGAAGGTCCTGCCCTTCTTCGTCTAGCTCCTGGTGGCCGCGGGCATGTCGTGGTTGGAGCAGCATTGCTCCAGCCCTGCTTCTGTGTCCACGTAGCCACCTGACCTCGGTGTCTGTGGCCAGAGTCCTTTTCTTATGAGGACACCAGTCATATTGGGTTAGGGGCCCCCAGTCCAAATGAGCTCACCATGACTTGCAAAGACCCTATTTCCAACTGAGGTCACATTTGTAGGAACTGGTGGTTAGAATCTCCACACCTCTTTTAAGGGGACACGACTCATCCCGTAACAGTTGATACCTTGGGGGGAAGATGCGTTTGCCAAGCAGAGAACGTGCCACTGTTTCTCCTCTTGCTCGTCCCATGATCGCTTCATTAGATGTGTGCTTGGCAAAGCACAGCTTCGGGACGGGGTTAAACAGCAAGGTACTATTCCTGCCCTCCAAAGCTACGGTCCTCCCGGGACAGGCTCGTGCTCGGTGGGACCCTGAATGGAAGAGCCAAGGTAGAGGGCACAGGGCTAGTGGAGCCAGGGTGACCACAGGAGGACGGAAGGGAGCTCTGAGGCTGGCCTGATGGGGTGATGCCAGGTTCGAGCAGGACTAACTGGTCAGGCGTGGACAGGGGAGAGGTGGAGGAGAGCCTCGTTGGAAAGGTTAGCCAGGCGCGGGGCCAGCCGTGAGCCTGACAAGTGGCAGGGGGAGCAGGGGGGAAGGCTCTGGGGGCCCCGCCGGGGGC